CTTCCTCCTCCTTCTCCTCCTACTCGTCCTCCTCCTCCCATCCCCATCCCCCTCCTCCTCCTCCTCCTCCTCCTCCTCCTCCTACTGCTCCTTTTCTTCCTCCTCCTCGTCCTCCTCCCCCTCCTCCCCCCCCCCTCCCCCTTTTTCTTTCCGCCCCGAGGACGCGAGCCTCCCGGACGGCAAAGGGGACATCCTGGCGAGCGTGCGCCAGGCCGCCAGAACGCACATGCAGGCGGTCGCGCGCCACCTTCTTCTCCGCCTCCTCCTCCTCCTTTTCTTCCTCGTCCTCCTCCTTCTCCTTTTTCCTCCTTCTCCTCCTCCTCCTCCTCCTCCTCCTCCTCCTCCACCTCCCACCTCCTCCCCTCCTCCTCCTCCTCCTCCTCCTCCCTCTCCTCCTCCTCCTTCTCCTCAACAGTCAGCGAGCGCGCGAACTTCTCCCGCAGAAACTCGGTGTCAAATGCATCGAAGGCCGACATGCAGCTCAAACTAGTTGCATGGAGCTAGCTCGCGCGCGGAACCAGCTACATGCAGCTAGTTTTGCGCCGAACTAGCTCCTTGCAGCTAGCTTGGCGCACCACTAGCTGCTTATAGCTAGCTTCCCCGCTGGATCAGCTCCGTATATTTGGCCGGGCGCGGAGGAGGAACATCTGATCATGGCTGCCACCACACAGGTGCTTTCGTTAGCTAGAACAATTGACGCACCAATTTCAAGTTAGCAAATTCTCAACTCTGTCCTTTAGTATCCCCCCCCTTTCGCGCGCCCCGATCCTCCTCCTCCTCCTCCTCCTCCTCCTCCTCCTCCTCCTCCCCCTCCTCCTAGTCGGCATTCAGAGTTCGAGTGCGCGAGCGACGATACGGAGTGCTAGAGATTCACACCAGCGACTTGCCAGGGGGGCCCGAGCGTTGCAAGGTGTGGGCAGGGGGTGGAGGGGGGGGCCCTACATCCGCATATTACATGTTTCCGCCCCAGGACATGTCTCGCAATGTGCCGCTGTTTATCGCTCCCGGTGATGGCGTGACCTTCGCGAAAGAAACAGCTCTTGCCACGAGAAGGACGCGAATAAGACGTACCCATGCCCAAGTTCCTCGCGCGTGCGTTGCGTTGCAGGCAGCCCCTTGCTAATCAGCCGGGGTCCCTGCATGCATATCTTTCCTGCAGGGGCCTAGCCGAGTCAGCAGCAGGAGAATCATAGCCCCCTATGCGCTCTTACCTTACCTGGTCTTACCTCCTCATCCTCCTTCCTCCCTTTCCCCTTCTCCCTTCCTCCTTCCCCCCTCCCCCATTCCTCCTTCCTCCTTGCCTTTGTCTCCTTCCTCTTTCCCCCTTTCCCTCTTCCTCCTTCCTCCCTTCTACACCTCCTCCTTCTCCTCACCTACCTCCTCCTCTCCTCTTTCTCTTTCTCTTTCCCCTCCTCCTCTCATCGACGCTGCGCCTTCTCCTCCTTCTCCCCCTTGAGACCAGCAGCAGGACTGAGGACCGGCATGACAGAAGAGTGTAGGGGGCAGTCGGGGAAAGGAGGAGGACGGGGAGGGGAGGTGGAGGAAGAGGGACGACGGAGGAGTAAGAGGAGGAGGAGGAGGAGGAGGAGGAGGAGGAGGAGGAGGAGGAGGAGGAGGAGGACCAGTGTGAACCCAAGATGCATCAACAAGGCTGCAATAAACCAGCCCTCCAAGTTCCCCTTTCACAGGTCCCTAAAATAAGCCGTTCTCATGGCCGGAAGTGGCCCATTAGAAGATAATCGTCTGATAATCCGCGATCATGCCAGAACGCAGTTTCTGCGACCTCAGCGCCGCGGATCAACATGAGTGTTGCGTGCCCGTTTTTTGGTATCGTGCCAGAACACCGTTCCTGGGATTTCAACAGCGAGTCAGTGTAGCTATTGCGCTCTGACGCTCCGAAGCCGCACTAGAACACCATTCCTTTTTTTGGGGGCCACGCAAACACTTGAAGTTTTGTACTTAAGCCTCCAAAGCCAATGTTGGCGGCTGTAAGGCGAGAGCCACATGTTGAAAACGACCCGCCCTCCATCCGTGAAACTGTTGCAATTTAGGTGTATGTGCACGGCGCTAAGGCGAGAGCCACATGTTGAAAAGCAGCCGCTCTCCATCCGTGAGAATGTTGCAAGCGTGAGACGAATGCGCGCGGCGCCAGAGCGAGAGCACCATTTTGAAAACTGCCCGCCCTCCATCCGTGAAGTTGTTGCAAACGTTTAAAACCAGTGCGCGCGGCGTGAAGGCGAGAGCACCATTTTGAAAAAGGCCCGCACTCCATCCGTGAAACGGCTGCATATTTCAAGTTCGAGGATTTCGCAGTGCGAGGGAAGCTCCGTCGAAACGCCCAGCCCGCCTTACCGACACGTCTGGTGGTGCAATTTGGAAGAATTGTTTTGAGGAGGAGGAGTGGAGGAGGAGGAGGAGGAGGAAAAGGAGGAGGAGGAGGAGGAGGAAAAGGGAAGGACGAAGAGGGCAAGGAGCATTCATGGGATCAGGAGAAGGGGGAACTTGGGGATAGGGGGAGGATCATGCGGCGGAGGAAGAGGAGGGGAAGGAACATGGGGGAGGGGGAGAAAGGGGAGGTCGAGGAGAAGTCGTAGGAGGAGGAGGAGAAGGGAAATAATAATGATAAGAAGAAGGGATAAGCTGGGATGAGCATCAGGCCGACGACTATCAGCATCAGGACTTAGACGGGACTTGGGGGGAAGGAAGATGGAGGACAACATGAAGGGGGAGTGTGACAATGACGACGACGATGGTGGTGATGATGTTGACGGTGACGGTGATGATGATGATGATGGTGATGATGATACAGTTGATGTTGGTGACGATGCTGATGATGCTGATGATGCTGATGCTGATGACGATGATGATGATGATGATGATGATGATGATGATGACGACGAGGATGGTGATGATGGCGGTGGTGGTGATGCTGATGATGCCGATGATGCTGATGATGCTAATGATAATGATGGCGGTGATGGTGATACTGATGATGATGATGATGATGATGATGACGACGACGACGATGATGATGATGATGATGATGATGATGATGATGATGATGATGATGATGATGATTGTGATGGTGATGGTGATGCTGATGCTGATGGTGATGGTGATGGTGATGGTGATGGTGATGGTGTTAGTGATGATGATTCATTCATGTTACGCCGCCGAGGGGGCAGACACCGCCGCCCACTATTTCTGGAGCCGAAAAGGGCCCCGACAAGCTGCCAGGACGGCCGCAGTGAGGCCTGGAGGGCCTTCACAAGGGGCGCCAGGGGCGCAAGGAAGGGCCCCCAAAGAGATCAGAATAGGTCGAGTGCGGCGGGGTGAGGTGCACGAGGGAAGCAGGAGGAGAAACAAATCAAAACACTTAGTTTTTGTTTGGCTCCTGGAGGTTTTTGGAGGCTCTCTATCTAGGGGCGCCCCGGACGACAGAAAAAGCTGCCAAGAAGGCGCCCAGACAGCTTGGGGGGTGCCCGAGAGGCAGTCAGGACGGCCACAGAGCGTGTCCACAGATCCCAAGATGAAAGGAGGAGCTCGTGGAGGTGCTCGGGAGCTCCAAGGGAGGCGCAAGGAGAAGCCCGAGACGGTTGGTCAAAATCGTTCGTGCTTTCCCAGGCATGTTTCTCGTCGGGGTGTGCGTGCGTTTTGAACCCGAACGTAGGTGGAGAGGCACCAGGGACGCGGCCCAAGGTGGCCCCAATGGCGGGCAAGATGAGCTCAGGAGGGACCCGAGAGGCCCCCCAAACTTGCTCGGGAGGCTCCCCGAGAGGTTTCTGAGAGGGCGCGGCGGCGCGCAGAAACCGAGCACCTGAAACGGGGGTCGTCTTGTGGGCCAGAGAGGGTGGCCAGAGGGCGCCCCGGCCAGGACCAGGGCCCTGTGGCCGGCGGAGGGAGCAGTGCGCGGGGAGGACCGCAGGAGAGGTTCGGAGAGGCCCAGAGGCAGTGACAGAGGTAGGAAACGTGCGCTGGTGAGATAACTCACGAGAAACAGTCCTTGCAGATCATGAGGTCGGGCGGCGGATCGCTTTGCTCATTCCGCCGGCCCAGATTGTTCCCCCGCGGGCGCTTGCCCACGTGCTCGTTGCATCTGCAACGCTGCTGGTTGGTGATGGTTTCCTTGAAGCGTTGCGTGAGCAGTCATGGGCGTCTCGGGGCAGAGGGCTCGAAATGGTTGTTCGTGTCCCCCCTCTTCGGTCCATCTTAGACTCCCGTTAGGGCCGTCTTGGGAGCCTCTTGGGGTCTCGTTGTAGCATCGTTGGCCCTTGCCTGCATACTCACGGGGGAAGTTTCGGGGCCTCGTCGGGCTTCTCGGAGGCATATTGGTGGCCTCTTGAGGTCTCTAGGGGGGTCTTGGGGGCCTGGGGGACTCTTGGAAGTCTCTTGGGGCCCTCTTGGGGGCTTTCTGTCTGTGGGTGTGCGTTTGCGTGCGTGGGTGTGTGTCTGTGTGTGTGTGTGTGTGTTTGTGTATTGTGTGCGTGCGTGCGTGCGTGCGTGCGTGTGTGTGCGTGTGTTTGTGTGTGTGTGTGTGTTTGTGTGTGTGTGTGAATGTGTGTGTGTGTTTGTGTGTGTGTTTGTGTGTGTGTGTGCGCGTTGTGTGTGTGCGTGTGTGTCTGTGTGTGTGCGTTGTGTGTGTGTGTGTGTGTGTGTGTGTGTGTGTGGGGGGAAATGGGAAAGGGTTCGAAATTCCAGTTCGGATTCCCCTCTTAGGACCTCATTGAGGGGTTTGGAGGCGTCTTGCGGCCGTCCTGGGGGGCTTTTGGCCTGACTCGTGGCAACCTCGGGGGCTGAATGGGCCGTCTTGGGATATCGAAACATCGAAAAAGCGACAAGGCCAACATCGTTCAACACACATAAGCAATAAGCATGGAAGTTTGCCTCTGGGATGCCTTTTGGAGCTGTAGTTGACAATTTGGAGGCTGTCTTGAAGCTGTTTGGGAGTGTATGGAGGCCATCGTGGAACCTGCCACCCATGGATCCCGACTCGAATGGACTCTCAGCGCTCCCATGGAGTCCCTCGGGGCGCTCCTGGGGTACTCTTGGAAGCCCTGAAGACCGACCCCTGGAATTCTGGGATCTGTGACACCGACCGCCCGGGACTTGCCGCGGGACCCGCCCAGGGTAATTCTTGTGCTGGGACCCCCAGGGGCCGTCTCGCGCGCTCGTGAGCTAGAACAATCGAAACCTGTTACCAGAGATTTTAGCAAGCTTCTGGCCCGTTCGGCC